TTCTGGGTCTAACTCGAATTATTTCCTGAGAAAGAGTGCATAGGAGAAAAATGTTGAGACCTCATATATATTAAAACATGTTTACCTTTGAAGGCGCTCTGGTGGCACAGTGCCTAATGCATTTGACTGCTAACCAGAAGGCTGGTAGCTCAAACCCATCAGCCACTCTGCAGAATGAAGACAAGGCAATCTACTTCTGTAAAGATTTACTGTCTTGGAAACCCAATGCGGGTCACCATGAGTCAGAATCAACTCAATGGCAGTGGGTTTGGTGGGTTTGTTTGGTTTATCCTACGTTTGTAATTGATAGTTTGGCTGCTGGGAGACTCTGTGGTTGTTAGCTGCCTGTCAAGTTGGCCCCCGATTCACAATAACCCCATGTTATAGAGTAAAATAGAGTAGGAAAAAAACATAGGGTTTTCTTGACTGTAATCTTTACAGAAGCAGTTCACCAGGCCTCCATGAAACCACTGGGGGGGGGGGGTTTGAACCTTTAACCTTCTGGTTACTAGCCAATCACCAATCACTTGTGCTACCCAGGCTCCTTGTTGTAACACTCTAGCTATCTCCTAAAATCTATCCTTCCATGGTAAGAAAACAACGCTGGCCACGTATGTAAGGACTGGATTTCCCAGAGCCCCCAAGTTGGGTGAGACCATATGACGAAGTTCTCTTCAACAGAATGTGAGTAGAAATGAGTCTTTTCCTCGCCAGACCTCTGAGACCGATGTGCTTCCTCCACATTTCCTCTTCCCCTTCCTGCCAGCAGCTCAGACTATGGCAGCCTCCCGGTTTTGACAACGCAGACAACAGCAACGTCCTGTAGCAGTAGTGTTTCTCAAATTTTACTGTGTACATGAATCCTCTGAGGCTCTTAAGACAGTAGGGCTGGCACAGGGCCTGAAACTCTGCATTTCTAATAAGCACCCAAGTAACGCCAGTGCTGCTGGTCTGCAGCCCACACTTGTGAGGGTAAGACCCTAAAGATGGCAGAGCTGCACTGCTGGCCCTGGTCCCTGTATGGTTTCGTGGAGCACAGCCCTCTACCCACTGAACTGTTTCATGAGGAAAACAATTCAGTTCTATTGCGTTGAGTCATTGTATTTTCTGGTCTCTACCACGGCTTAAGCTGCACCCTGACACAGTTGAGTACAGAAATCACTTTCTCCAGAAATGGTGACGGTCCACTCACTGCCTTCTAGCATGGATGTTTCTGTTAAGAGGCTCAGAGTCATTCTGATTGCCAGTCCTTAGCATATGGTCTGTTTTCTCTCTGGAAGCTTTTTAAAGACCTTTTTTCTTTGAGCTGAGTGTTCTGATATTTCATGACCTGCCTTGGTGGGGGCCTACTTTCCTCCATTATGTTGGGCCCTTTAAATCCGGAAGCCCAAGTCCTTCCACTCTTTGAAACAGTTGTGAATTAGTCACCTGATTTCTTCCCCTTCATTTTCTCTGTTCACTCCTTCCAGAATTCAAGCGTCCTGGACTGATTCTCTAACTTTCTTCTCTTTCTCCTCCTATACGCCATTTCTGTCTTTTCCTTTATTTGTGAACCAAAGTCCTCAATTGCTCTTCTGTCTGCCAGACTTTTCATTCCCGCCTTCATGGCTTTATTTTTCAAGTATGCTTTCTTGTATTTAATCCCCCTCCCCTTTTATTAAACTGTATATGGACTTTTTTTTTTTTTTTTTTAATTGTGATTCAGGTGAAAATTTACAGAGCAAATTCACTTTCCATATAGCAGTTCACATACACTTTGTCTTATGACATGGACCCAATTTACCACAATGCAACAGCTCCCCTCCACTTCCTCCCTGTGTCCATCCCTCCACGCACTCCTGCCCCCTGAGCTGTCTCCCTGTGCATAAACAGCCCCTCTTTCTCCCATGATTGTTCTCTCCAAGGAGTGTATCTACTTGAGGTAAATGTTTAACTCATATGCCTGTCTTTTGTTTGGCTGGAAACCACAGGTGTGGGTTCAATTCCAGACCTGAAGGACAGCTAGAGGCCATAGTCTCAGTGGTTCCACCAGGCTCTATCAGTCCAGCAAACCTTATATGGACATTTTTATAGCACATACAAATACAATAAGTAAGAATATCATCCGCCAATCCCCTTTTTACAGAATCTTTAGCTAAGAGCTTCAATTGTTTTGTTTTTGTTGTTTTTTAAGTTTTACTCTATATTGTTTAAAAAATAAAACCCATTGCTGTCAATTCTGACTCATAGCAACCCTACAGGACAGAATAGAACTGCCCCCATAGGGTTTCCAAGGTTGTAATCTTTACAGAAGCAGACTGCCACATGTTTCTCCCACAGAACGACTGGTGGGTTTGTCCAAGGTGTTTTTTCCCCTTTTATTTTGGTGTCTGTCTCATAAGTTTCTTCAGATATCTAGAAATCTTTTGTTGTCTATGAGGTGCTAAGAAGTTGACCAGAAAGTGTACAGTTTGGAATTTTCAACTGTGTGTTTCAGTATGGGTGATCTACTTTGTTGGAGAACCCCTGATGTTAATATCCTTAGGTCTTTCCTCTGACTGACTAGTCAAACTCCCCAGAGAAAAGTCTTCTAGTCTCCTACCTGGCAAGTATAAGCCTGGTCACCAGAGTTCCTGAAACCATTACTGAGTATATATGACTCTCACTTCATCTCTACTTTCAATACAGTACTCCTACCCTCAACTGGCCCAGTGTCCTCCAGGCCAAAGATCTGTTTTCCATGTCCAACAAAGAAAGAGACCTCCAGCACTCCGATGAGTGCAGGGTGAGCAGTTACACAGACACATGAAATCATGGAGGTATAACTACTTCAAATAATCCTAATTTTAGGACCACCTTTACCCCATGTGTATATGATACCACTAACTTAAGGGTGGGGAGCTCTGGTAGCATAGTGGCTAAGGCACTTGACTGCTAACCAGAAGGCTGGCGGTTCAAATCTACCAGCCACTCCTCAGAAGGAAGATGGGGCAATCTACTTCCGTAGTGATACTGCCTCAGAAACCCAAGGAGGGGTCGCTATGAGTCGGGGCCGACTCGACGGCACATAACAACAACAACAACAACTTAAGGGTAAATTAGGTTGCTGCAGGCTCTCATCACTGCTGGCTTAGTGACTACTTCACTGCTAAATCAGTTACCACTTATCTTTCTCTTTTCTAGCTTCTATTAAAAATTTGGCTCTTAATTTCTCCCTCTTTTTAAAATCTCTTCATTGTCATTTTATTAGGATTTACAGAAGAGAAGTTAAATGCTAGCTCCAATGAGTTCAAGTGACAAGTTAATCTGTTAATCTTGTGAAAACGGGCTCTATTTTTGACAGTCTTCCATATACTGCCAAGAGTGATCTTTCCATTCAGTGCAGGGGATCCTGGATAGAATGGGAGAACAATGTGGTATAAAACTAAAATCATTAAAAAAAAAAAAAAGACCAGTTTTATTGGTCTGATAGAGCCTGGTGAGACCCCTGAGACTGCGGCCCCTAGTTACCCTTCAGGTCTGGAAATGAACTCACTCCTGTGGCTTCTAGGCAAACAACAGAGAGGCATATGGGGTGAACATTTACATCAGATAGATACACTCCTTGGACCAATGGATCGATCAATCTTGGGAGAACAGAAGGGCAGTGTTTGGACAGGGAGATGGTGGGGGGTGGGGGGAGGTAGGGCAGGAGTACATGGGAGAGAATGACACAAGAAAGAGGTAACTACATGGAGGAAGTGGGAAGAGAGCTGTTACACTGTGGGGAATTGCAGTCAATGTCATGAAACAAAATGTGATGAACTGGTGTATGGAAAATGAATTTGCTCTGTCAACTTTCACCTAAATCCCAATAAAAATTAAACACACACACACACACAGAGAAAGAGTCATCTTTCCAGAAAATTAAATCTGGTCATAATACACTTCCCAAAATACTTCAAAGGCTTCCGATGTCTCAGAATACAATCCAAATTACTTAATTTGCAAGCCTCTTCCTGATCTGGCTCATCCTCCAGACTCAACACTGTCCTACCTAACCACCACCACATTCACTCTAGTCCAAGAGAAGCCCTTGCTACACCCCAATGAGCTAGGCCCCTTCACAGCACCATGGTACTGTCCATGCTGTTTCCCTTTTCCACTTCAACCTTTCATCCACCTAGCTAACCCTTTAAGATTCAGTTCAAGCGGCACTTTCTCCAAGAATCTTTTTTCTGAGCAGAGTTACGGGCCCCTTCTCTGTGCTCCTAGCCGCACACTCTAAGCATATCTCTATCAAACCATCTATCTATTCCACTGTCACATGAGAGTCTATTTCATTCAACTTTGCATCCTCAGAGCCCAACACATAATAACCAAAAATAGAAAGGGACAAAGGCTGGAAGGATCTGGTATTGAAGAATACACTGATAAGTGGTGGGATATTTGGGTATATGATAGCAATAATGGTGGCACCACATGAAAAATGTCATCAATGTCCCTGAGTTGTAAATGTGGACGTGGTTATGTTGGCGAATGTCTTGTGTATGCTTTCACCACAATAAAAATTTTAAAAAATAGATAGATAGATGGATAATCTGTTTCAACTGGGTTCGTGGTCGGGGAAAAAGCTAGGGTGAATAATATAACACTCACCAAGACGAGCTTTCCCCAGGCCCTGACTATGGCAGAGCTGGGCGGGCAAAATTATCCAGTCTAGACTACCCCAAAGCTTCCACTGTCATCATCTAGTACCCACCAGAGACTTAATAAATTCTTGTAGAAGAAATTAAGTAAAGAACACAAGATAGTGTCCTGGAGGTTGACAAGCTCGAATGGCTTCGGGCGGAGGAGTATTTCAATACAGCCTCTAACCACACATCTGGTCCCGGAAGACCCGACCAAACGCAGGAGAGCCTGGGAGTTGTAGTTCACCAGGTGGACCACCCCCCCCCCCCGAAAAAAAAAAATAAATAAAACTGCGCCGAGCATCCTGGGAATTACAGTGCCAGCTAGCGAGCACTATGCGCAGGCGCCCACCTACAGCCACTTCCGTGCTCAAGCGTCATTATTTCGCAAAAGGAGAAAGGCCGGTGGAGGATTCCCAGAGTGATAATGGCTACCTGCAGCCTGGCAAACGAGAGATTACGCGCTCTGGAAGACATCGAGCGAGAAATCGGCGCCATCCTTCAAAATGCAGGTTTGGAATGCGACGAGCAGACGGCAGGGAGGAAGAGCGAGGCTGAGCGGCTTGCACATGTACCGATCAGTGACTAGGAGCCATGGTCGGGAGAGGTCCTGAGCGCTGGAGCACCTAATGTGTAGGGAGGTTGGAGGGGCGGGAGGGACTGGCTTTGGGGTGGGGCTAACTGGCAGTCTTCCGGTAGTTCAGTCCTTTCTCCGCCCCCGGCAGGTAACGTGATCCTGGAACTGTCCAAGGAAAAAACCAATGAGCGGCTCCTGGACCGGCAGGCGGCGGCCTTCACAGCTTCAGTCCAACATGTGGAGGCAGAGCTGTCGGCTCAGATCCGCTATCTCACGCAGGTGGGTAGGTGAGGGAAGTGGTAGGAGCAGGCCCTGGCTCTCAGGACTACGTTTGTAGTCCGAGATGGAGCTTTGGCCTAGGGAGCTAGGGGAGGGCCAGGCTTCCCAAGCTGGCCTCACGCCTAATTGGACCGGATAACGAAGCAAGACCCCTCGTTTACCAGGTCGGTCTCTTCCTTTCAAAGGAGAAGATTAAAGGCCGCCCTGCCTGTATCACTGGATTGCATCTCATTAGTCAGCGGACCGGGAAAGTGCCTGGGAGGGGGCATGCAAAAAATGCCAGAGGCACAGGATTTGCCTTTAGAAACTTGGCCTGACTGTGGCATGAGACCCCAAATGCCTAAGTCTAGAGAAAAAGGACAGGATTGAGAGGGTTCAACAGCTACCACCATTTACTAAATTCTTAACGCTGTGCCAGACACAGCACTATGTTATGTAACCGTGCAAATCTTTGTTGTTAGTTGCTGCTAAGTCTATTCAGACTCATGGCAACACCATAGCATGGAGGACTCCATAGCGTTTTGAAAACTATGACCTTTCAGAAGCAGATCACCAGGGTTGTCTTCTAAGGAGCCTCTGGAGTCCACCTTTCAGATCTCCACCCATAGACTCCACAGCAGCTGTTGTTAGATGCCACCAGTCGATTTTTCAACTCATCGTGACCCCATGTTGACAGAGTAGAAGAGCTCAATAGGGTTTTCTAGCCTGTGATCTTTACCAAAGCACATCACCAGGTCGTTCCCCAGCGGAGCCACTGGGTGGGTCCAAAGCACCCAGTTCGGTTACCAGCTGAGCTCTTAACCTCTGTGGCCAGGGCTTCTTACAACTGTTCGAGGATGTAATTTTTGTCACCTCCATTTTATGAATGAGATTAACAGAAGCTAAGCCACAAGCTTTCCCTGCTATCATTCAGGGCCTGTTTAGTCAAATTAGGCAGAGCTTCAGTTTGTCCTCTGGCTACAAAGGGAAGGAACAAAAACAGTTAAAAGGCAAAACACTAGTGGAAAACACTGCCCTTAGTCCCCTTGGCTTTTACCACAGGGTAATTCAGAGGTTTTGGTATAGCTTCCTGATGGTTCTGCTTGTAGAACCCCAAGATGCAGCACTCTATCCAATCACACAGTAACCAGGGCCACAAGTAGTGGCCACACAGCCATCAAGTGCCATTAGGAACCAGGTACACTCCTGTGATTTTGCAGCCATTCAGCGCTATCACCCATTGGCAGTAGAACACAGGAGTCCAGCCCACTATTTAGGAGGGGGACTTGGAGGGAGACGGAACCTACAGAGCTTTACTTGGCTCAAAACAGACAGAGGTGCACACTTGCAGGAGCACCACCCAACCTAAACCGTCCCAGAGGTGGTAAACTCCCTCTCGTGGCCACAGCCAGGAGGTGTTGCGGTCTCTTACCACGACGTGGTTTTCTGCAACAGTCTGGGTCTCGGAAAAAGAAAGGTTGTGCCCCCTCCTCTCCTGTTAACCCCCATTACACAGAGGCTCAAACATGCCCTGATATATCTCCTGTGGCTGCCCAATCAGTTCCAGCCAGAGGCTCCAAGTTTCAGTGCTTGAGAAGGGAGCTGGCCACAAACACAACAGCTGTTTCTGTGGTGGACTGCAGCAAAGCTGTTGGCCTACTCTAGAAAGACATTGGCAGCCCTGAAAGGAAGAAAGCGGAGTAGGACATACCCATGGTTGGAAAGACAGGTATTTAGTGCATACCAAAAGGAATAACTTTTACCCTTCTACTTGGATCATGCCTGTGCCTCACCTGGGGTGGTGAGAACAGCAGCTGCTGTGGGCATTTTCCCTGAGGGTACCATCTGTGCTGCCCTGGGGAGGCCACCTGAGGGGTTATGAGTAAAGTCACCCATTTTGCTGTATGTCACTAAAGGCAACCCACTTCCATCCCTCACACTGTAGCCATTGTTCCGGTACAGGTAAAGCATGACTGTTGAGGACCTCCATGCAGCAGGATGGTGGGTTCCTCCATATCCAAAGGGATGAAGCACCAATATATGGTTCTCCATCCCCACACCAGGTCCTGAGGCATTCAGAAAACCATACTGCTTTGCTCTGGCAACCTCCTGGGTAGATGGACTTCAGGGGCCTGTGATGTCACTTGTATCATGGTTAGAGGATCACAAAGGGCTCCCAGCCTGGCATGTGGAGGCTAAAGCTCTAGTGGGGGCCAAATTTATTAACCTCAGAGCCTCGGGCATCAACTTAGTCTACTCTGCCAAAGAAGCCTTGTCTGGTAATCTACCTGCCAGTCCCTTATGTGTCTCTCCAGGATCCTGGGGCAGTAGATGACTCGGGCACTGGCATAAGCACATGGGGCAGTTTTGTACAGCAGCCACCAAATCACTATACTTTACAAAGCACTATGCTTTACTGCTTTGCCTGCCTCCGGCTGTTTTCCAGCCAACGCAGACACTATGGTGCCTGTTTTTCTGGTGAGCCCCGTGGGCAGCTTCCCCTTCTGGATGCACCATTCTAACCTGTGCTATGTAGCACCTACTTCTTGGTTCCCTGGAAGGGAAAGAGGTGAATGGGTTGTTACATGAAACACAGGTCAGCGTCTGAGGGTTGGAAGTGATTCTAAATGTCTTGCAACAGGGATTTCCCCCACAGAACCTTGTCCATTACCATCCATTGCTCCACATACCACTGGCCGGGGGCTCTGGCAGCATAGTGCCTAAGGCACTTGACTGCTAACCAGAAGGCTGGCGGTTCAAACCCACCAGCCACTCCTCGGAAGGAAGATGGGGCAATCTACTTCCATAGTGATACTGCCTCGGAAACTCAAGGAGGGGTTGCTATGAGTTGGGTCCGACTCAACGGCACATAACAACAACATATGCCACTGGCCAGTTCACATGGTTAACCCATAGGCTGCTTACCAACTGTCTGTACAAAGGGTTAAGGGCCAGGGCTCATGATTGCTAACCATCCACACAGCCTTTAATTTGACTCACTGGTTGCTTTATCCTGAGCCAGTTTTACATCCTGCGGCTAGAGCCATCTGTGGACCAGGCGGTCTGCTGGCAGTGGGCCTTCCTCCTCTCAGCGCAGAGGGGAGGTGGCTCCAGCAGCACCCCAGCCCGTGCGGGGTGGGGGGATGTATCGTCTTGATACGTAGCTGTTCCCATACTGTGCTCAGGGCTTCCATTGTGCAGCCAGCACTTCGCTTTCTCAAAAGCTTGGTGCTGTTCTTTGTCCCAGTCCCATGACGCACTCATTTTTACCAGTTGATAGAGTGGTCTCAGACACTGAGCTAAGTGGGGTATAAATACTCTCTAATACCCCAAAAGACCCACAAAGGCCTGCATTTCTTCTAGTGTCTTTGGGGTGGAGTGAGCTTGTACCTTAGGAAGCTCTGGTGGTGTAGTGCCTAAGGCATTTGACTGCTAACCAGGAGGCTGGCAGTTCAAACCCACCAGCCACTCCTTGGAAGGAAGACTGGGCAACCTACTTCTGTAGTGATACCACCTTAGAAACCCAAGGAGGGGTCGCTGTGAGTCGGATCTGACTCGATGGCAGTGAGTTAGAGTTTAAGCTCGTACCTTATTGACTTTGGCTTCAGGTAACAAACAGGTATTACCCAACCAGACAACCCCTAGAAATTTTACTAATGTTCCCAGCCCTTGCACCTTTTAGGGAGTCATGGCCCATCCTCTGCCCTGTAGGTGAGTGATTAGAGCATCTAAACAATCTTGTAACAGAGAAACATCTTCAGCAGTTAACATGATGTCATCAAGGTAATGAAGCCAACGGACAGTAGCAGGGAAAGAAAACAGGTTCCTAGCAACAATACCATGTCATCACTAATGGTTTATAACAGAGACATTATGTTTGACACCCCTTTCACCATTTTTACCTATAATTGGAATTTCTCACCCTTAGAATATCAGGAGCTCTGGGTAGCATACTGCCTAAGGCACTTGACTGCTAACCAGAAGGTGGCGGTTCAAACCCACCAGCCACTCCTCAGAAGGAAGGTTGGGCAATCTACTTCCGTAGTGATACCACCTTGGAAACCCAAGGAGGGGTCGCTTTGAATCGGGTCTGACTTGACGGCAAATAACAACAACAACAACATCAGTTAGAAGCTCTGGTGGCGTAGTGCCTAAGGCACGTGACTGCTAACCAGAAGGCTGGCGGTTCAAACCCACCAGCCACTCTTCGGAAGGAAGGTTGGCGATCTACTTCCATAGTAATGCTGCCTCAGAAACCCAAGAATGGGTCACTATGAGTCGAATCCGACTTGATGGCAGTGAGTTTAGAGTATCAGTTGCCAAGAGGGGGACCTTGAAACCTCTCAGGGTTTCCAACAATAAAGGTACGTCCTGCCCCTGTGTTAACCAAACTGATGCTCGTTTGTCTTTGACCAATGTATTGTGACTTCTGCATGGGCCTTTGGTCCTCCTGCAGGTGACCTCAGCTCCCACCCCCTAGTCCCTAGGGACTGAGAGGGTTGACCAGGAGGCACGGGGCACTTCCTCATGGGGAAGTCCACCCACATCTGTTCTTGGGTTATTTTCAAGGGGCTGTCAGACAGCTGACAGCCTGTTTTTCTTTTCCCACGGCTAACACCCCTCTAGCCCTCTGTTTCACCCACGTCGGCTGCTCCAAGCTCCAAGCCACATATAGATAGTGCCAGAGGGTGAGGCCACCCATAAGGGCCTTGCTTTCATTTCTACAGCAGAGAATCCACTGTCTGGCCCTGCCACAGCCGGAGTTAAGCTCCTGTTACTGACTCTGGCCGCAGACATCAACGTGGTGCTGCCCTGTGAGCAAGGGGAGAAGCCGGGTGGGGGGGTGGAGGGAAAGCAGAGCGTGGGCAGGCAGCTTCTCCACACAGCACACAGCACACGCGGGAGCCGACCCAGTCTGGCCATCTCCTCCTGGCACCCACTCTCCCTTCCCGCTGCTAGTTCTTGCTGCCCTCGCAGCCTGAAGCCAGAGAGGGGCTGGGGCTCCAGCCTACAGAGGGGAGGCTGCAGCGGGCCAGCAGGCGGGCAGCAGGACTTCCTCACTTACACTCTGTGCTGTAACTTGCTGCTCCTGTCCTCAAGCTGCCGCTTCTTCCTCCCTCTGTTTGTGCAATCCTAGCTATTCACCCTGTTTGCGCAATCCTAGCTATACACAGAAGCAGCTATTTAGAACATCAGCTGTGGCCCCACACACTGTCACCATCCTTTTCTAACTATAGTTCCCCCCAAGTGCTCTTACATACAATTTCATGGCTACTTGGGCATCAGTGGCTAGTCAGACCACCCTGAGCAGCTACTATTTTGCTGAACGCCACCTCTAGTCCCTCTTTCCCACACTTATGAAAGCATGTGCTTTTCCACAACCGTGTCGTGCCACTTGGCATTTTCAGGGCGTTCCTGTACTCACCCGGTGATGCACGCGAACCCAGGAGTTCCCCTGGTAGGTGTATATGGGCCAGATCTCCCCACATGGAGGTCGCTGGCCCCTGAGATTGCCCCTGACAGATGCATCTCCTTTATCAGCCATGTCTTTGGTCTCCTGGCTGGCTTGCCAATTGCCTGGGCTTGAAATTTGCCTAAGGTGCCGTGAGACTGGAGGAGGAGGCTGGCAAGTTCGTGATGGTAATACAGGAGTTTGTTAAGGCCTTTCTGACTGAAGCTGGCCTGTGGGTGGTGGCAGTGCTACTTGGTTTCTCTGTGCCCCCCAGGGGGAGGCAGGGGTTTTTATGACCCAGGTGAACAAGGGTATCTCAATGCCAGGGACCCAGACCTCCAAGCCCACTGTAGCAAGTGGTACATAATAGTGACTTAGCAAGCAGAAATGAGCTAGCCATATTCGCCCTTGTAAAAGCATGTTCCCTTACAGCCTGTCTGAGGGGGGCTAGGTTAGGGAGAGGGTGCCCCATTGATGATTCTAACTGTCCTGTAGGTGGCCACAGGGCAGCCCCATGAGGGCTCCAGCTACTCTTCAAGAAAAGATTGTCAGATGGCCCTGAAGCGAGTGGACTACGCCCGCCTCAAGCTCAGTGATGTGGCCCACACCTGTGAGCAGATGCTGGAAAACTAGGCCAAGCAGGTGAAGCAAAACATGGAAGGAGACCAGCACCTGTACCCAGGCCTGGAGCCCTGAAGGGGTGAGGCGCACAAGCTGATGTCGACGTGTCTTGCTGGTCACAGTGTACTGAAACAGGAGGAAGGGTGGCAAGCCTGAGACCACCACTGCACTCTGCCTCCTCTCGCAAGGAACGCCTGCGTGGCACTTCACGAGACTGCCACCAACGAGCTCAGATGCAGGGAGAGACTCACTCAGCCCCCTTCTCAGACACTGCCTGTCCCTGGCCCAGGCTTCCCACAGACTTGGCCCAGCAAAGTCACATTGTTCTTCATGAGGAAAAACAAAACAAGAACTAAGGAATTTAGTAATAAAAGTAATCAAAACAAGAAGATGAGACTGTCACTGGGGCATGGGAGGGATTGTGGAAGCGAAAGCAGCCTGTATGGTGTCGGCAGCACAGCATTGAGGGAAGGAAGGTGGGAAAAGCGGAGCCGTTGCTGTGGGGCCCAGGAGAGGGAAGGGAAAAGGGCTGGGTTTGGGGAGGAACAGCTGGTATGATGTGAGGAGAGATTTGGAACAAGAGGGAGCCATCAGCAGAAGCCAAAGCCAGGAATCATGGGAGAAGGGCAGGGCCCTGAGGCCAATGTCTACAGAAAGAACGGCTGATAATCAGAAAAATAATTTTTAGTAGTTTAATAAACACATACAGAATTTGTCCTAGGTACTACTACAGTGTAAAAGGGGTTTTACAGAGTAACACTTTATTTTACAAAAAAGGGGGGTGTCTGAGAGAGGGCAGCAGTTGGTTAATCATTAATTAAACATGAACGAAAATACATGATTTCTATGCACAGCATTTTTCAAGTACACATTGTATTGAATAAAGCACAGTTTGCCCTCGGAGCTTCCATTCTTGTGAGAGTCTGGATTAGGTGTTAGGAGCCTGATGCCACCGGTATGTAATGGAGCTGCAGATCTGGAAGGGACAAAGAAGTTGAGATGAGCTCTGAACTCAAAGGGGCTGGACAGGGGGTGGGGGGCATCACTTGAACTGGGGAATCGGACTCCAGGACCTTAACCCCACGACCTGGTGTACAGTAAACCAAAAACCCACTGCCGTCGAGTCTGTCCTGACTCAGCGACACTACAGCACACACAAAGTAGAACTGCCCCCTTGGGTTTTTGTGGCTGTAAATCTTCATAGAAGCAAACTGCCACGTCTTTCTCCTGTGGAGTGGCTGGTGGGTTTGAACCAATGACCTTTCAGTTAGTAGCCGAGCATTTATCACTGCACCACCAGGGCTCCTTCTGGTGCACAGCAGATGCTCAATAAAGATGTATGAATTGAGTGAACGGCCCAATTTTCTCCACAACTTCATCTCCAACTAGCCTGCTTTAGCAGCCGTTTTCTCCTAAATACTGCTGCAAGCGCTGGTCTCTGGGCCCACAGTGCCGTCCCTCCTACACTCTAGTTTCTAGCTGACCTATCTTCCAAGGCCTATGGTCCATAAGGAAGCCAGCCTGTATCTGTCTGACTAGGCAGGTCTTCAGCCACCCGGGAGCTACTGGGACGGCCCCTGACAGGGAGACTCTGGCCTCCTGGGGGCGGAGTGCAGAGGTCCAGTTTACCTGGGCAGTACTGTTTTGACTGTTCCCTCCTCCTCTTGCACAGCACGTAGAGGAGGACTCCAGTGAGAATGAAGACGGTGGCCAGGAGGGACAGCACCGCAACCATGGCTGAATTCCCACCTGGGGGACCCACACGGTCTTCCAACTGCTTCTGGTTCTGCCCAGCCTCAGGCCCAGCCGCCAGACTGTGGCCCACAGTGGGAGTGGTGGTTTCGTTGAAGGGGGTGAGACTTCTGTCCAAAGACGGTGCTGCTGCTGGAAGGGTGGGCAGCTGGGTAGACAGCAGAGTGGGTGGCAGATACATCCGGGCAGAGGTGCCCACGTCTGAAGTCCCCTTTGTGGGCTCAGGAACCTCAGTGCTGAGGGGAGGTAAATGCTTTTGGAGAGCTGAATTCTTCACGGAGACATATCCACATTCTGAAGAAGTAAGAAGAAAGGAATCAGAGATAACCAGGGAACAAGGTGAGGAAGCAAACAGAAGGAAGGGTAGTGGGTCAGAGAGCATCAAGTGGACAAGTGAAGGCAAGTAGAAGAGAAAGGTAAGGGACAAGTCAGCAAACCACAGGACTGAACTACGAACAGAATAACCATGAACCAAGAACAAGTGATCCTTCTGAACTAAGAAGTCAGGAGATCTGAGTTTGAACTCTAGCTCTGCTACAAAGTAGCTGTGCTTGTCTCAAAAGTCTGGAACTCATTTCTTTCAGCTGTAAAGTGGGAATCACTTTAGTACCAAGGGCCAGATTGCTGTGGGAATTAAATGAGATAGGTCTGTGTAGTCCAAAGGGTAGTATGCACACATACCCACCGAGGCTGTGAGATGTGGTAGACTTCTGGTGGAACATAAAAGAATATTTTGTATTTTAATGGTTGTGTATTTATTCTAGAGGGAGCTCTGGTGGCATAGTGCCTAAGGCATTTGACTGCTAACCAGAAGGCTGGCGGTTCAAACCCACCAGCCACTCCTCGGAAGGAAGGTTGGGCAATCTACTTCTGTAGTGATACTGCCTCGGAAACCCAAGGAGGGGTCGCTATGAGTAGGATTTGACTTGACGGCAGTGAGTTATTTATTCTAGATGTCTATTCTGGCACATCAAATTTGTGATTTCATGGATGTTAATGCTTAGCACTGGTGGCACAGTGAGTAAGACATTTGGCTGCTAACCAGAAGAGTCAGCAGTTCAAACCTACCAGTTGCTCTGTGGGAAGAAGATGAGGCAGTCTATTTTCGTTAAGATTTACAGCCTTGGAAACCCTATGGGGTCACTGTAAGTCAGAATCAACTCCATGGCAGTGGGTTTGGTTTTTAGAATGCTTAGGACAAGTTGTTATTTAAGTTTTTCAAAAGTGACTTACGCATATTTAAAATTTATTCATTTCATTGCATGTAAACTTCATCTCAAAAGAAAAAAGGAATCATAAAATATTGAACTCCAGTTAATAATATATATACTTAAGTGTTTTGTGATGAAATACAGTGATGCTTGCAATTCATTTTTAAATGCATCAAAAAATAAAATGAAATGATGATGGGCAGAGAAATGAGTAGAGAGATGGAAGTGCAATAAAGCAAGTTTAGTAAAATGTTAATATAGAATCTAGAAATATGGATATTACTGTGCAATTCTTTCCATTTTTCTATGTCTTTAAATGTTCATAATAAAATGTTCAAAGCAAAAGTATTGACCTGATTTCAAGAAAAATATTAAGTAAATAATAGCACTAGTGGTAAAAGGAATTAGCAAAAATCATGTATGTGGTTGTGTGTGAAGTTTGGTAAACAGGGACTTAGAAGGTATTTTGGCCAGTGTCAGAAGGTTCTGAGAAAGTGAAGTGTCACAAGACAAAGAGGTGATTCAAAGAAAATTGAAGGTGGAGTCAGGCTGAACCCTGGAGGCAGAGGCTGGCAATGAGAAGGAGAGCTACTCACTTTTGTGATCAAAGCAGCTCATCAACTCCAGAACCCACAGCTGGGTGCTGCCCCCACACACAGTCCGAGAATGCAGCTGGAACCTACAGAAGAAAGACCTGGTCTCAGCTAATGGCTCCTTCCTCCCTGTTCCTTCCTCATTCCAAAAGCATGAAGTCACCACTAAGAAAGAGCCATTTTTGCTGAGACTGGGAAGTCCCTATGTAGGTGGGACAGGGAAATGAGTGTGTGGGAAATTGGGCCCGATATAACAGAGGGGACTAGATCTGCCCACAAGGAGTTTAGCTCTGACCAGAAGAGGGTCCTAGAGGTACCCAGGAGGGAGGGCATACACAGACACTGCCTCCAAGGGATGAGTGAGATTACCTGACAAAGGGTGGACAGCGCTGGTAGCCTTTCAGGTGTTTTCGCATATGCTCCCTGCGTCCCGTTGGTAGGGGGGTAGAAATTACATGATCGCAGTGACAACTTCCAATGACACTGCCCTGGTTACCATTGCCTGAGCAGGACACAGGTGGTCAGCACAAGTTCCCAGGCCACGAGGCTCCCCCAGCTATTACTTAGCTTCCAACTCACTGCCTCATTTCAGCCTCACCCCTAGACTCCCGGGCCAGACTCTCAGGTTCAACCCACGCATCACATATCCCGAGACTCCATCATCCTACCCGGCCCCAGGTGGCTCTGCCCAAGCCCTCGCAACTGGCAGCTGACCCTCCCTTTGCTACCTTGGTGACCCTAGTGCGCCTGACTCCCAACTCAATCCCGTGGCCCTAGCGTCCCCTCTTACACTCCCCTCGAACCCCACCCCGCACCCTCCCACCCCCCAGACCGACGCCTGACCAACCTGGCAAAGTCAGGGACGCCAGCAGGAGGAGTAGGAGCGCGCGAGACGGAGGTCCCGTGCGCCGCCACATCTCCGCGCGCAGGAGGGTTTAGGGGACGCACCGTCCGACTCCCCGCCGACCGGCTCCTGGCGCGAGATGCCTGGCTGGTTTCCCAATGGCTTTCTCCTCCTCCCTTTGCTTGGCAGCGGGCGCCGAGTCCAGGCGGAAGGAGCGGCCGGAGGTCACGACCGCTGGTCCCCGGCTCCCCACGGTCTGAACAGGCTCGCGCTGCTCGCCAGCCTCTGCCGCCTGGAAATCCCCGGGGGCGGAGCGCCCTGCCCTGCGACCCCGCGCCGGCACCGAGCCTTCGCGGAGGCGCAGCCAGGAACGTCTGAAGAAAGCGAAAGGAAACCCAAGCGGCCGAGCGAGGAGAAGCAGGCTGGCAGTGGCCCAGCCGGGCCGCCCCGGTGCAGGGGGCCCCCTCCAGCCGCCCGCCCCCCGCCCGTCCGTCCCCGGCCGGTCCGCGGGAGCTGCGAAATGGAGGAGGCGCTGGACCTAAACTCCTCCAAGACGGTTTCGCTTCCCTGCCCTGCTGCCCTGCTGCCCGCTTCCGCCGCCGCGGAATGTAGTCCCAAGGCGGCTTTAGGGCGTCTGGACGCGAGCCTCGCCCAAACCCACTGCTAACTCCCGGGTCAGGACAGTGACCCGAACGCAGCATGCGCGCGCCCACGAGGGGCCGGCCGGAGGCGCGGGCCGCCCTGACGTCACGACTGCTTTTCCCCGTGCTATTTACCTTCGAAAAGTGGTGGCGGCTGCAGGTACCGGAGTCCTGGGGCGCCCGAGGGTAGGGGCTAGCTGTACCAAGGCCTCAGCCAAACCGAGCCAAGCCGAGGGGATACCTCGACCCATTGCCGCCTCCCAAACTCCACAGACTGTCCAAATTCTTCCTTCCCAGAAAGACCCTTCCTGAAGGATTAACCAACCATCTTCCATCCTCAATTCAAACCTCACTTTTGAGGATTTGAATCCTAAAATTTTGAGCCCCCAAATTTTGAGGCTTGAGTACTCGTCCTCAACCCTGATCTCCCACTTTCAAGCCTAACCCCTAGTCTAGTGCCTGAACTCCCATCCTCAGCCCTGAAACCCTATTCTCAGCTTCCAACATTCATCCACAGATTCCTCCCCAAGCGACTCTCAGACCTGACCCCTCACCTGCTCACGACCTAGCCCCAAACTCTCTCCCCATCACCCCCTCCCTCACCATATATTCCCCTTCCTCTGCTCAGTCTGGATCCAGGCCTCCGGAGTCATGGAGTTTGTGTCTGGATACCGGGATGAGTTCCTGGATTTCACTGCCCTCCTCTTTGGCTGGTTTCGCAAGTTTGTGGCAGATCGTGGGGTTGTGGGAGCCAGCTCTGAGGGCCGTTGGAGACAGCTGGAGGCTCAAATCAGAAGGCTGCCCCAGGACCCTGCCCTTTGGGTGCTCCATGTCTTGCCCAACCATACTGTGGGCATCAGCCTGGGACAAAGGGCAGAACCAGGTCCTGGATCAGGCCTAGGGGTTGCCCGTCTCTTAGGAGAGGAGCTCCCACTCCATCTGCAAGACCTGAGCCCCTATGTCAGCCTTGTCAGCCTGGAGGATGGGGAGGAAGGGGAGGAGAAAGGGGAGGATGAGGGTGCAGACCCAGAGAAGATGAAACCAGAGGAGGATGGGGACCCAGCCACTGCCAGCAGAGAGTCCCCGCAGGAAGCAAGCCCTCCAGGAGAGCCAGAGGACACTGAGCAGGAGGCAGGAATCTGTAAGGATGGCTGCAGAGAGGACAGGGCAGAGGACAAAACGAGGCCTGAGAAGAGGAAGGGACTGAGAAGTGGTAAGATCTGAGGGCTTGCCCTGCTCCACCTTCTGTCCAGCCATGTTCCCTGTTCCAGAGCCCTCTCCCAGCCCCCAGAACCCAGCCCAAAATCAACCAAACCAAACTCACTGCCATTGCGTCAATTCCAACTTATAGTGACTTCCATTAGTGTGAATCTTGACAGAAGTAGATTGCCCCATCTTTCTCCCACGGAGTGGCTGGTGGGTTTGAACCACTGACCTTCTGGCTAGTAGCCAAATGCCTTATCCACTACACCACCAGAAGAACTCCATAGAAGCCGACCCGGAGTCGCGAACTGATGGTCTTCAGGAGGTGTTTTCACAGTGTTTTTTTTTTTTTAATTTGAGCCAACATTTGAACATTGAAAGGGAAAAGAAATTCAAAAATCTGCATTTACACTTTCTCTCAAGAAAGCAAGAATGGCCAGACTTCGTCTCACCTATTTTGGTCATGTTGTAAGAAGGGACCATTCCCTGGAGAAGGATGTCATGCTTGGTAGGGTGGAGGGTCGACGAAAGAAGGGGAGGCCTTCAACAAGATGGATTGCTATGGTGGCTGCAATGATGAGCTCAAGTATAGCAGGGATTGTGGGGCTGGCGCGGGATCGGGCAGTGTTTCGTTCTGCTGTGCATGGGGTCGCTATGAGTCGGAAACGACTTGACGGCACTTAACAACAACAACTCAAGAAAAATGTAAAGTTCTGACAGTTGGCCTGCATTTCTACATGGCAGCAAGTGCTGGTACTTCATAGCAGCTGTCCCCCTTTGATGGGGCATACCCTCTTCACTTAGTCCCCTTTACTCACATAGGTTACTTGCCTACTTGCCTAGCTTCTGTAGGCTTTTAAAATTGGAACTCTGACCCTGACCATCTTTGCCCCCCGACTTGTCCCTCTTTCCCCAGAGGCCGCCCCCCTGCATGTTTCCTGCCTCTTACTGGTGACAGATGAACATGGCACCATCTTGGGCATTGACCTCCTAATGAATGGAGCCCGGGGGAGTACAGGCCGGGGCTCAGGAATAGAGAACCTGGCTTCTCGGGCCTACGCTCTCCTCTGCCACAGCATGGCCTGCCCCATGGGATCTGGGGACCCCCGAAAGCCCCGACAGCTTACTGTGGGAGACACCCAGCTCCACCGGTAGAGAAATCTGGCATCTGAGGGCGGGGGGCCTGGGGCCCTGGACTCCTGAGCCCCTAGCCTGACGCCATCTCCATCCCCATCCAGAGAGCTGAAGAGCCTGGTCCCCAGGGTGGGAGTGCAGTTAGCCAAAGCTCCGATGCGGACGTGGGGCCCCCGGCCAGGTTTCACCTTTGCCTCCCTTCGGGCTCGAACCTGCCATGTTTGTCACAAGCACAGCTTTGAGGTGAAGCTGACACCCTGGTGAGCAGCCTGCAAAGACGGGAGTGAGAGGGAAGAGGACCCCCACACTCAGGCCAGTGAAGAGGAAGTAGGCTGGTGGGGGACCCAGCAGACAAAGCAAGGGGCAGGAGGATGAGACCACGGGGACAAGAAAACAACGAACAAGCCAGCTGTTACAGAGTATACAGACAGACTGACAGACAGATGGGCAGCTTCAGGGCTGATAGGAAACAAAGAACCTACAGAGTAGCACTAGGTGCCCACCACCCCACCTCTCCCAGCCCCCAGTGTCGTGCCGTCTTGTACTGCGGAGAAGCTTGTCTCCTGGCCGACTGGCGGCGATGCCCAGATGATGTAAGCCACCGATTCTGGTGCCCGAGGCTTGCAGCCTTCATGGAGCGGGCAGGAGAGCTGGCAACCTTGCCTTTCACCTACACAGCAGGTACCATCTGGAGGTCAGGGTGTTGGGTGGGGGAAGGCTGGGACCAGGTCTTTGAGACTGGGGCCTGGATACTTAGGGAAGAGAACAGAGTCCTGGTATAGAAGTCCATGTGCTGGGGGCAGGGGTCTAGATCCCTGGAATAAGGACCTGGCATTATGTTTAGAGCTTGGGCTAGATCCCTGGGGCTGGAGACAGGGTCTCTGGGGCTGAGGATTTAGTGCCAGGGTTCCTGAGAGAGCTCAGAGGATGCAGGGATAGAGATTCAAATTCTCCCTCCCTCCCCAGCTTCACTACCAACTGGCATTGTGAGCTTATACCAATCACTTTCTTTCTCTGAGCCTCGGTTTCCTCATCTGCAAAATGAGAACAAAATAAATGTTAAAACCCATAGAATTGTTATAAGGATTATGCGGGCTCAGTGCCTGGTACATTGTAGCTACTCAGGAATGTTCCCTCCCTGACTAGAACAAGACTCAGAGACAGGGTCCTTGAGGGGAGGCAGAGGAGAGCTAAAGTCTGTGGTCCTAGCCCCCAGGCCCTCAACTCCTCCATCCTCCTTCTCCAGAGGTGACCAGTGAAACTTTTAATAAGGAGGCCTTCCTGGCCTCCCGGGGCCTCACTCGCGGCTACTGGACCCAGCTCAGCATGCTGATTCCAGGCCCCGGCGTGCCCAGACACCCCAGGAGCAACACACCATCCCTCAGCCTTCTCAGTGGTGCATGGGCCCTCTCTTCAGGCATGGGCCCCTCAGTCTGGACGAAAGTCTAGATAAGCCCTCCACATGTATACAAATACCCCCACACACACACATCTTCCAGGGCCACTACAGGCTTTCTCCCAACTCTGAAAAGATTCATTCCTTCCTACCCCACTTAGAAACCCCCTCCCCAGGCAAACCCCCATTCCTCTTGTTACAACTCCAGGCCCCCTCCCAGGGGGCACAGCTCCTTTGGAAGGAAGAGGGGGGGTGGGTCAGGTGGGGGAGATCTTACTGACACCATGCCCCACCCCTTCCTTTCATCCTCTCAGGAGATCCCTACCAGCTTCTCCAGGGGGATGGGCCTACTTTGATGCCTTCTGCGCCCCCAGATCCACCCAAGAGTCTCTTTGGTGAGCTGGAGGGACCCTGAAGGAACTAGGGAAAGCAACAGGAGCTGGAGGGCTAGAAGCCTAGGGGACTATTAGTCTGGAGGAGTTGAGATCTGGGGCTGGAGCCAGGTCCCCCTGTAACCCACTCTCCCCAGGCTCCTGGCAAGATTACTACCAGTGGCGAGGTCTCAACTTGGACTGCCCCATGGCTGTGCTTCTCACCTACCCACTGACTGTGTACTACGTCATCACCCACCTGGTGCCCCAGTCCTGTAAGGACAGCCAAAGCGGGGAGGAGAGGCAGGGGAATGGATGGAGCAGGGGGAGTTGGGAGACAGAAGGGAGGGAACCCATGTCTTTTAAGAGTTGGCTTCTCACCCAGTCCCTGAGCTCAACATCCAGAACAAACAGTCCCTGAAGATCCACGTGGTGGAGGCTGGGAAGGAGTTTGATCTCGTCATGGTATTCTGGGTACGTCCCATCAGGCCTAGAGGCTGGGCGTTGGGGTGTGCGGAGGCAGATGCAGGGTGGAACCCAGGTCTGTCCGCCTCTGTCCTGCAGGAGCTTTTGGTCCTGCTTCCCCATGTGGCCCTGGAACTGCAATTTGTGGGTGACGACCTGCCCCCTGAGAATGACCAGCAGCATTTTACCCTTCAGAGGGTAAGGGCTGAGGGGGGCCCTGCTCTTCAGTCCGGATCTCCCTACTGTCCTCCTGACCACTTCTCCCCACTGCCATACTGCCTGGAGAGAAGCCTGCGGTACCCTGACTGCCAGTGGCGTCCCCTCCCGCCCCCGGCCCCCAGGATGAGCCTGAAGTGTCTGTCCGCACTGGTTCTGGGCTATCAGCCCGGCTCAGCTCTGGGACTAAGGAGAAGGGGGGCCGCAGGAACCTGCAGATCAAGGTGTCAGCACGGCCCTACCACGTGCTTCAGGGGCCCAAGCCAGACCTGGTTATCGGTGAGAGCCTGGGGCCCGGGGGCAGGTAGGGAAAGCGGGGGAGAAGTCGACCTGGGGAGCCAGCTTCTTTCTCCTCTCCTCCTGCAGGATTTAACTCCGGGTTTGCTCTCAAGGACACTTGGCTGAGCTCTCTGCCTCGGTTACAGGTGAGGGATGGGGGCAAAGGGGAATTTCTGTCACCTCCTGTCCAGCTTCTCCTCTTCCTGAGTCCCTGGCCTCTCTCCTCTTACCCATCATCTGGTCCACAGACCTGGGTAGGGGAGCGCTCACGGATCCTCTTGTCCCTCTGTGTCTGTGTTGTGCCTCTTCCCCATCTGGGTTCTGGGGCCTCCGTTTCCAGCCCTATCAGCCACCCTAGTTGCCTGTAGGTCCCTGGGGGAAGGAGCCTCAGAGAACGTCTCTGCCGCTCCGCCCCACCTGCAGTCCCTCCGAGTGCCGGCCTTCTTCACCGAGAGTAGTGAGTACGGCTGCATGATGGACGACCAGATCATGGCAGTGGCCACAGGAGGGGGCACCAGCCCTCCACAGCCCAACCCTTTCCGCTCCCCTTTTCGCCTCAGAGCAGCAGACAACTGCATGCCCTGGTGAGGACCCGCAACCCTTCCTACTTCCTCCCTGAGCCTTAACTTCTCCGCATCCTAAAAGGCCCACTTCTGTCTCTGCCCTTGGGACCCTCCTCGTCCCATCTCTACCACTCGATTTTTCTTACCCCATGATTTGCCACCACCACCCTTGGTTTCAACAACTTCTCAGCATATTCTTCTTTAGATCCAGCCACAGAGTCTTCTGATACCTCGCCCCACTCCCAAAAAGGACCCAGCTACTCTTTAGCTAGCAGCTCTGGTAGCATAGTGTCCAAGGCACTGGACTGCTAACCAGAAGGCTGGCAGTTCAAACTCACCAGCCACTCCTCGGAAGGTCGGGCAATCCTACTTCTGTACTGATAATGAAATAGGACCAAACATGGGTCCCTGCCTGGTGTGCAGTCAGGCCAAAACAGTTTACACACTGAGTGATTAAGAGGAGAGAAAATTATTTATTGCAAAGCGGCAATGCAAGGAGTCAGGGGTACCCATACCCAGGTCTGACTCCCCAAAACTCCATCGAATTACAGTTTTGTAGGTTTTAGAAGAGAGGGTTATACATATTCATAAAAATTTCAGGCATTTGGGCATGAGATGGTTGACGATTGGCTGAAATTCCTTCGCTGCCTCGGTTTAAAGAGACAGTGGAGTTTTGAGCCAGTGCAGGAACCAGATGAGTCACACTGGCTTCCTGTCATCAGCTGATTGGGGCTTAGGCCGAGGGAAGAGTGTTAGTTCCCAGTAACTTTGTTCCTCTCTGTCCCATTGTGCATGTCTGAGGAGCAGAGTTAATTTTCAGGTTGTTTCCTAAGACACATTAACACATTTATTACTTGTGCCTAAGGAAATAGCAGGAAAGAATTTTTTTTTTTTTTTTCCATTCAGTTCTTAAGGAACTGAGCTTATCATTTTTACTCATCTGTCTCCAATCAGGGTGGGGAAATAGTAGAGGGTAATTATGTTTACTTATCTATTCCCATCAGAGTCCTATCTGTTCTAATTAACTAGGGTAGGGGAAATAGTTTGACTTTACTCTGTTTCAATACCACCTGGAAACCCAAGGAGGGGTCGCTATGAGTCACGTCAGACTCCAGGGCATATAACAACAACCCTTTTTAGCTAGGCTAGCCCCAAGCCCAGGAGCTCTGGTAGCATAGTGCCTTAGCACTTGACTTCTAACCAGAAGGCTGGTTCAAACCCACCAGCCATTCCTCGCAAGGAAGGTTGGGCAATCTACTTCCATAGTGATACCGCCTCGGAAACCTAAAGAGGGGTTGCTATGAGTCAGTCTGACTGGATGGCACATAACAACAACAACAACAAGCTCCAAGCCCAGCCTGGAACACAGGGCCCCCACAAGCCCCGCCCCTTGGGCATCCCGACCCTCCTGGCCCCGCCCCCTGACCGCGTCCATCCCCTTCCTCAGGTACTGCAATGCCTTCATCTTCCACCTGGTCTACAAGCCCACGCAAGGGAGTGGGGCTCGCCCGGCGCCGGGTCCCGCGGCCCGCGCACCAACTCCTGCGGCTCCTCCCGCTCCCGCCCGAAGGCGCCGAGGAGAGAAGAAGCCTGGGCGGTGGGCGCGCAGGCGGAGATGAGTTCTGAGATGCTAGCCGGCCACCTCCTCCCCCAACACACGTTAGTTCAAAGGAGGAAATGGAAAACCTCAAGGCCGAACGGGAGGACTGGTTGGTGGAACATGAAAAGGTAAATAAAATGACTTGTTTGAAATCACTGAGTCACTGAACTGATTTCTGTTGTTAATTGTGGAGCTGATTCTATTCCTGGTGACCCGGTGTGTGCTGAGTAGATACTGTTCCGGGGAGTTTTCAAAGCTATGAACCTTGGAGGCAGAGCGCCAAGCCTGCTTTCTGAGGCGACTCTAAATGAGTTCTAACTGCCAGCCTTTCAGCTAAGAGTCTGTTGCATAGCAGTCAAGCGCCTAACCGTTTGCACCACCCAGCGATCTCTTTGGATCATATGCTCAAAATCAGGTTACTAAACTAGGAGGTGATGATGAGGAAGCCAAGGACTTAGGGATACTTTACCACCCTCCAAGTACCTGGGAGATGCAAATGGTTAAGGAGTCCACCCAGAGGCACCTTGGAAGGCCTGACTATCTGCTTCCCAAAAATTAGCCACTGAAGACCTTATGGAACCCGGTTCCACTCTGACACACACGACATTGCCGAAAGTTGGAATCCAGTTTATAGCAACTGGTTTTACATTCCTTCTGCCCCTTTCGGTCCCTCTGATGCTGTCCGCTCTCTTGCTTGGGACTCTGACCCTCCTTGGTAATCCCAAACCTCTCTCAGTGTATATGTTGACAAGCCATTTTCCAGCTGCAGTAACCCTCAGGAACCCACTCCAAGGATAGAAGCACAGAGGGGCTGCTCACTAAGGTAACAGGAATATCTCACACAACCTCCTAGGGGCACACAGACCCCTTGGTTTAACTTCAGTGAAAGGCCCCAGACACCAGCTGTGGAAGTTAGAAACTTGGCAGCCATCCTTGACTCCATGGCTCTCATCCCTCATATCCAATAACAACCAACTTCTGCTGAGTCGGTGTCTTAAAGTTTATTAAATCTAACAGCTTATTATTTCTAGTCCTGTGTAGTCTGCACCTTATCTCATCTCCACATTGGAACCTATGTATTTCTAAAACAGACATTTGGACACATTACTTCTCAATGCAGTGGAGCACCTGACTGATTAAAACTCTTTGGTGACTTCCTCAGCTCTTAAAATCCTCTTGAGTGTGGCCTGGGCTTAATGAACAAACTATTGCAAGGAAAAAAAAAAAAAACAGTGGAGAAACCTGGCAAACACGACCTTAACCAAGTGATGGAGGTTAATGATAAGTGATAACTCATGCTGGCATCATGTACCCCCTGATGTGCAGTGGTGAGAGGGCCACATCGCCTTTGTGGTACACTTCCCCAGAAGCCATATCCTCAGTGTAACCACAAGAAAGCACAGACAATCCAAATTATGGAACAATCTACAAAATACCTGATGACCATTCTTCAATAGTGTCAGAGTCATGAAAGGCGAGGAAAGACCACGAAATTGTCAGGTTGGAGGAGACTACAGAGACATGACAAGGAACCACGAGGTGTTATTCCTGGATTGGATCCTGCAACAGAAAAACTAGAGAACTCCAAATAAGTCTGTAGTTTAGCTGATTGTATTGTAGCAATGCTAGTTCCTTGGTTTTTATAAACACACCATGGTTATATAAGACGTAACAGTGGAAAGTGGTTCAAGAGCATATGAGAGCACTCATCTGTAAATCTAAAATTATTTCAAAACATTTTTTTAAATCACTTAGACTCCTTAGTATAGCTTTTTTTTTTTTTTTAATTCCCTCAAGGTGTTTGGTTACGGCTAACACGGTTTCATAACTTAGTCTCCTGTATGCTCTTCTACTTTCATGGATATATTCACAGCACATGTAAATACATAGGGATACATAGCCTCTGCCAAACCTATGTGTATTTGTAGGTATAGTCCCATTTTCCTTCCCACCTCTGTTCAGATTGAGTATCTATGCATCCACTCATAAATTATTATTAAAGTATGGCTTTTTAGCATGGTGTCTGTCATTCTCTTTTATTATAAACATTTTACTATCTAAATTTCCAAATATACACAAAAGCCCAGAGTCTTAGCATAATTGATTTCCATATAGCCATCACCCAGCTTCAACGATTATCAACATTGTGTGCACTTGCGGTGCAGTGAATTGGTTGGTATGACGCTTCTAGCTATGGTTTTTGTGACTCCCACCAGATTAGTAGGTGGAACTATGCAAATGTGAGATGTTTGTGGCCCACCAAGGGGATTGGATAGCTTGTTAGTAATGTAAATAAGGTACTTGGCATCTTTGTGGGACTGGGACCATGCAAATAAGGTATATGAAACCCTGACTTTGGGATTGGTCAGGTTTGCCATGCTGCCAGGCTTAAAGTGAGCCCTCCCGGTGGCAGAAGGGGGGAATCTCACTGCCATCAAGAGAGAAGAGCCAGACGTGGAGTGGAGCACATCCAGGGACCTGAGATCCCCAAGCTGGACCTCCTTGGCAGAAAGACAAGTGGCAGATGAAGCTGGCTGAGACTTTCGGCTGACACAACCAGCTGAGAGGTGGCAGCGGTGGACCAGGGGGCACAAGGCAGAGCGGCAGGCTTGACGGCACAGAGAGCAGGAAGGCTGAGTGCCTTTGGGCAGGAGGCTTGCTGGGGGAGTGAGGTTCATCTAGGTGTACCCATCAGGAGCCAAAAGAGCTTTGAACACTTGCCTGACCAGGGCAGAGGCCAGGCTGAGAGGCCTAGGGCCAGAGAGGCATGGAACACTTTCCTGATCAATGACTTGTATCTTGATAAACCCTATAATTGTGAGTATTGTCTGTGAGTTCTGTTGGAGAGACTGCAGAGACATGACAATGAATTATCAATCCGTTGCAATGAATTATCAAACCCCACAGAGAAGTAGTGAGTGCATGGGAGGGATGCCACTCTTCCCACTTTTTTCCCAGAGTATTTAAATATACACCCCAGACATTGTCATCTCATCCATAGGCATCTTTGACTAATAAGGACCATCTACAATGAATAATAACCATCATACCATTATCACACCCACTAAAATTCACAATAATTCTTTAATACCTTATAACATCCAGTTCATATTCAAATTTATTCAAGTTATCTCAAAGATGTCTTTGACAGTGGGTTTGCTCTAATTAAGAAGTAAATAAGATCTATTCATTACTTCGGGTTTTTATATCTCTTAAGTCTTTTTAATTCTGTAACAAAACCCTCTTTCTTTTATTTCTATTTTATTGTCATGCCACTAATTCTACGAAAAATGGAATAATTTGTCCTGTAGAATGTTCCTCATTCCAGATCTAGCTGGTTATTCCTCCCGGTGTTATTTAATTTGTTCATCTGTCTCCTTTATTTCCTGTAAACTGGTAGTTAGATCTAGATGACAAGGCCTTTTTGATGTGGTTCCTGCCAACCTCAGTAGGCTGATCTCATGCCACTTCCTGCCCTCTCTCTACTTTGTTTAGAGCCAGACGCCTCTAAACAAAGAAGCTCAACTGATTCCTACAGGTCTCAGCCTTAAACATCACTTCTTTAGAGAAAGCAGGCCTTCCCTGACCCCCACATGAGGTTTGACCCGCCCCCCTCCCCAGTTAGACCCTCATGGCACCTTGTTATGTACTCTAGGTGACTTTTATCACACTTGTAATCTCTTGCTGTCCTTCCAGCTGTAAACTGGGAAAGGATAGTACTACATCGACCTCTGAAGGTCTAGCCTGCCTTGTTGTTATTATCGTTAGGTGCCATTGAGTCAGCTCTGACTCATAGTGACAACAGAATGAAACACTGCCTGGTCCTGCACCATCCTCACAGTCCTTGCTGTGCTTGAGCCCATTGTTGCAGCCACTGTGTCAGTCCATCTCATTGAGGGTCTTCCCCTTTTTCACTGACCCTCCACTTTACCAAGCATGATGTCCTTCTCCAGGGAATGGTCCCTTCTCACAACATGACCAAAGTAGGGGAGACGAAGTCTGGCCATTCTTGCTTCTAAGGAGCATTTTAGCTGCACTTCTTCCAGGACAAATTTGTTAGCTCTTCTGGCAGCCCATGGTATTTTCGGTATCCTTCACCGACACAATTCAAAGGCATCACCTCTTCTTTGGTCTTCCCTATTCATTGTCCAGCTTTCACACACATGTGAGGCAATTGAAAATACCATGACTTGAGTCAGATGCACTCGAGTCTTTTTATTATTATTATTATTATTAAATTGTGACTTGGCTGAAAGTTTACAGAGCAGATTTATTTTCCATTCAATCAACAGTTCATACACATTTTGTTCCATGACAGTGACTGCAATCCCCACAATGTAACGGCTCTCTTGCCACTTCCTCCCTGTGCTTACCTTTTCCCTGTGTCCTTCTTTCTATGCATTCCTGGCCTCTGAGCTATCTTTCAGTGCAAATGCTGCCCTTCTGATCTCCCATGGTTGATTGTTCTAAGGATTGTACCTACTGGTGTAAATGTTCACCTTATATAGCTGTCTATTGTTTGGCTGGAAGCCACGGGAGTGCGTTCAATTCCAGGCCTGAAGGATGACTAGGAGCCATAGTCTCAGGGGTTTCACCAGTTTCTATCAGACTGATATGTCTGATCTTTTTCATGATTTTGAGTTTTGTTCCACATTTCTCTCCCATTCTGTCCAGAATCTCCCACACTGATCCCTTTCCAAGTGGTTGACCATGGCGCCCCTTGATCTTCAAAGTGACATCTTTGCTCAACACCTTCAAGGTCTTTTGCGGCAGATTTGCCCAGTGCAATACATCTCATTTCTTGACTGCTGCTTCCATGGGTATTGATTGTGGATCCAAGTAAAATGAAATCCCTGACAACTTCAGTTCTTTTCTCTGTTTATTGTGATGTTGCTATTGGTCCATTTGTGAGGATTTTTGTTTTCTTTATTCTTGAAATGTTCTTTTTGATGATGAATGCAGCGCTATTCCTCTTCAGTTTGGCACATGGTAAAAACCAGTTGCCAGTTGAATCAACCC